AAAAAAAAAATCGAACCAAGTTATATATATTTTTTAATTTTTATATATATATTTTAAATTTTTATAAAATAAAATAATAATTTTATATCAAAATTTACTTAAATATATTAAAATTTTATATTAAAATAATATATAAAATTAAAAAAATTAAAAATCATTAAATCGAATCAATTCAAATCGATAAAATTCGATTCGATTCTATTCTATTCAAATCAAATAAAAATTCAAATCAAACTTTAAATTTTCATAAATTATATAATATTTTTAAAAATTAAATCAAATCTAATTTAAATCAAATCATTATACTTTTATATATTATATTAATATTGTACCACATGTAGACATCAATTTTGTCCGGGTTTACTGTTTTAATTTTAATAATAATAATAATAATAATAATAATAATAATAATAATAATAATAATAATAATAATCATAATAATCATATTTAAAAATAATTATTAATTATATAAAAATATATAAAAATAATTAAAAAAACAAAAAAAAAGAAAAAACTGAAAGCGCCAACCACCCTACAGCCCTTTGACTAGCCCCCTGTCTACCTACCAGCCTACAGCCACCCTACAGCCACCTTGGAGTTTTTTAAAATCCCCAGCCTCTCTCCCCTTGAACTCTCTGGAATCCCCTTCAACCTCTCTCTCGAACCCCATCTCAAAAAAGCTCTCGGAACCCCTTTAAAAAACCTTCAGACATACTACCCTCAGCACTCTCTCGTTTCCAACTCAAACATCAAGCTATACTCTTCCTTCAACAACCCCAAACACCCCCCAAAATACCCAAAACAAAAACGTAAAAATAGAAACAAAAACCAAAAACAACACAATCCTCGCCTACGGCGAGGAACCATCAGCGCCGAGCTCCCTGCAAAAATAAAAAGAATCAGATCAGCCTTTGTTTTACAAAAAAAAAAAAAAAAAAAGCAGCAAACTCAGAAAAGTTCAAACCCTGATCTACGCCAATTGGGGCTTGTTCTCCCGAAAAGGACCTCGGATCTGAACTCAGGAGGTCGAGAAGAACATCGCAGTGAATTTTGGTGATTTTTCGACCACCGACGACCATTGCCGGTGGCGACTAGGTGGCAGTCGGTGTGGTGCTCCGACGGTCGGACAGAGAGACTGCTGAACCTCTCCCCCAGAACTCTCTCTCCCTCTCTCCCATTTTTTTTTTCTGAAACAAAAACCAAATGAACAAAAAAAAATTTCGATTATATATAAAAGACTAAAGAGCAAAACGACGTCGTTTCGATCAAGGAGGATCCGCACGTTGACCCGGATCTGACCCGAGAACAACGTAACCCAACCCGTGGACCCATTCTTCCAACGGTTACTGATCGATCCAGTTGAACCGGTTTGAACCGGATCGAACCGTAAACCGTTTAATCGAATCGCACATTGAACCAACCCTTTTTTGATTCAACCGAACCGATCGTTGACCGGACCGTTGACTAGTCCAGTTCAGGTAAAAAAAAATTTTTTGAATTTTTGAATTTTTTATATTATTATTTTTGTTATTTTAAGTATATTTTTATATTTATGCATGATAAATTTTTAAATTTGTTAGAATAAATGTTTAATTGTTTTAATAATAATAAAATTGAAAACAAGTAATAATTAAAAATATATATTAAAAATGCTAAAAAAAAATTTTTTTATTATTATCATTTTTTCTGCCTAGATGTTGGGGGAAATAAAAAATATTTTTCTAAAAAATAATTTCGCCTAAATGTTGGGGAATTATTATAAATAAATTTTTGTAAAAAAAACATATAAGAAATTTTTAATTAATTTTTAAAAATTATAAAAATTTGAACTTGCTCCGAAAGTCCGCCTAAATGATGGAGATTTTTAGAGATATTCGCGTTTTACTTAAACCTTAAACACTAATTTTTAATTTTCAAAATCCTAAGTTTTTAAAACCCCTAAAAATCCAAAATCCCTTAAATCCAAACCCCATAAAAATTCAAAATCTCTTAAATCCAAACTCCTTAAAATTCGAAACTCCTAAAATCCAAAACCCTCCAAAATCTAAAATCCCAAACTTTTAAACTCTTAAACCTAAACCCCCTAAATCTAAAATCCCTAAAATCCAAACCCTTAAATCAAAACCTAAAACCTCAAAACCTAAACCCTAAAATCTCTAAACTCTAAAATCAAAACCCTAAACCTTCCATATCCTAAAATTCAAGCTTTAAAACCCTCTAAACCTTAAAACCAAACCTTCAAAACTTCTACTCAAGCCCTTACTCAAAACCTCTTAACAATCCTAAGGACATGTGTGAAAATTTTATTTGAAGCAATTTGTTCTCGAATGCCGCCTAGATGATAGAGTATTTAGAAAATATTACTTCGTTAAGTCTTTTCACACAATTTCTTAATTCGGTTTAATAATAAGATTAATAAATAAAAAGTATAATAAAATTGGGATCTTAAATACAAACAGTCGTACCTAAGCTCTGCCTAGATGTTGGAGAGTCATGATGGTCTCATTATACTTAAGAACCCAACTATTAAATTGTATTTTATTTCTCATGACATTCATTAGCATACATACGTTAGCATGTTATCATCGATAATTGTCTACATTATTCTCTCTGTAATTTATTGTTCGATGATAAAATATTTTATAGTAAAAAAGAATAATACTTTTAAAAAAAATTGTGATATTACAAAATAAAATAAAAATAACATTTCAAAAGAAATAATTCTTGGTACTTTGCCTAGATGTTGGAGAGTCACAAACAATTTTCTATAAAGATTGTTATTTCATTTTAAGGATTATTGTGTTAAATCTTAGGCGAAAAGAGTTATTTTAAATTCTGTCTAAATGATGGAAAATTTTAAGATAATTCTTTAACTTAAAGATTTTCTCAATAGTTCTAAATAAATATTTTAGCAAAAAATTTTTTTTCAAATGAAAGGAATTAGTGTTAAATTTCAAATTAAAATCATTTTTATCCAACACCGAAAATAGCGCGTAATTAAATGATACCAATTTATGAGCGTTATGGGGGTGCTAATCCTTCCCCACGTGTAACGGATTTTCGGACCCAACCTGATTTTTTGTATACCAAAATTTATCTTTTTGATAAACTTTAAACCCGTTTTTATAGTTTTGTTAAAAGGATAAGCTTTTGGGTGGCCAATCACACCCTAACAAAGATTGGTGGTAACTCCTCCCTTTTTTTATTTTTCTCGATTTTAAAACTCCTTTATGTCTGACGGTCTCAAAATCGTTACGACACCACCGCATCATATTTCGTATTGGCAAGTCTAACAAACACCACCAACATCCAGATTGTCCTCGTAGACAGTGTTCAGTTATACTCAGACATGCAACAAAGCCTAAACTCTATTTGGGGCAAAGCAATGCTGTACTTTTACCAATAAATGATTGATTTAATCGATTAAAATTATATTTTTTGATGAAGAGATATTGAGTTTGAATTTTATTAATGATTATTTGATAGAGTCATCTTGAATGTACGATCTGCAGCCACCTGTTTTAAGCTATCAGATACGATACATTTTATTTTAATTTAAAAAATTAAACAACCATTTTTCTTACCAAAAAAAAAAATGTTGGACTTCTGATTTTTACTGTATGAGATCATTGGCTAACCCGTTGGGTCTGAAAAGATAATCAGCCGCATGCATTAAGATTAACAAGAGTGAACTTCACACTTGCCATCTCAATAAGGTCTAATTTCAATTTCCTGTTGCTTATAATTGGAGAGCCAATTTCAAAGGCTTCACGCTATTCATTGGACAAAGAATTTCAAAGGCTAATCAAATTTAATTCCATCCAACTCAATCTATGGACAAATTTATTTTTAATTGTAAAAAGTTCTTAATTTATTTTATCTCTTAATTCTTATCTATTTAATTTTTACTTTATAGTGATATTATATTTTTAAATTCTCTCAAACTCCTAATTTAAAAAAATCTAACTAATAAATTAAATTTAAATGTTAAAATATATAAAACAAACAAGATAATAAGATAAAATTGCAATTCAAATTTCCATTTTGAAATAAATAAACAAGAGATTAATAATAATACAAAGTTGACAATGGCCTATTATCATTTATCATAGTCATGATGATGATATGGATGGAGAGAAACTGAAACATGACGCATGCATGGATATATATAGATGGGTATTTATGGAAATACAGAAAAGGAGATTTTAGAAATTTTGAGAGATAAATGCCAATCTAATAATGGCCCTATATATTATTAAATTGAAAATGTAGAAGAGTCAAAATTTTGGGACATTGCTGCATTTGGATCGAGGGGGAGGCGAAGAAAGGAAAAAAAAATAATGAAAACAGAAAAAAAAAATTTTGGATAAATTTTTAAGTTAAAAAAAATAAAAGAATTGAAAATCTAATAATTTTTTTATTTTTTTGTAATTTTTATTTTTTAATACTTCAATTTGAAAAAAATTAAAGAAAAAAATTAAAAAATTTATGTTTATGAAAAAATTATTATATTTATATTTTTATTATGACATTAAATTTAATTATATAATTAAAATTTTTTATAAAAATATTTTTTATGAATATTTTATATAATATTATAGTTTATAAATATTTTATTATTTTTAACTCTTAATAACAAAATAATTAAATTATCAAAATAAATTAAAAAGTTGAATTTAACATAAAATTAAAGATAAATCAATAATTAATCAATATATCTTACTATATTAAACATATTCAATTTTTTTAAAAAAAATTATTTATATAAATTAGCTAATATAAAAATATATTTGTGTGTTATATATTATTTTATAAAAAATTATAATTAAAAAATATTATAACAAATTATTTTTTTATTATTTATCTAAATAATAATTATTAAATTTTCTTTTTTTTCTTTTCTGATTAATTTTAACTATAGTGGATATACACTTTTTTAAAAAAAATAGGACTTTCTTTTCTTTTACTTTTTTTTTATTAATATCTATAGCTCTCTTTTTCCATCTACAAGATCTTCACTGTTCCCCATATCTAATTTATTAATGTAACGAGAAGCCAAAGGAAATAAAATTTCTCTTCTGTTTTACCCGTTTCCTCCATCAATTTGCAGTGTCTTTTTTTTTTCCTTTTAAATTCTTAGTACATGGAGTGATGATCTTTAAGGTGGGGTTGGCTTTTACATCGATGGAAACCATTTAGATGAGGCAGGTACGTGGCTCTTCTAACAACTGCAACAACAACGACGACAATAACTATTTCTTTTTTCTGGGCGTATTTTTTGGGATCATTAATTAAGGCAAAATAATAAAGATGGAATTTTTTTGTTTTTTGTTTGTTTACAGAGGAATCTGAAATAGACCATTTCTTGATAGGGGAGTTTCCATTTGATAATGGCGGTTGCTGAGAATGCTGGGGCACAAATGGGGCCATCTGATCCAAATTTGGAAAACACCGTAGTGTCGTCTGACTCCAATGCGGTAAACGATCCTGTTAAATCAAAAACCAGGACTGATTCCGTGACTACTGCTAAGTGTACTAAGGAAGACAACTTTCAACAAGAAAAACCAGCAGCAGGCCTCAACAGCAATGGCAATAGCAACAATCAGATGCAAAATGGGTTTAATGAAAAGAATCAGCAGCAGATGGTGACAAAGACTGCTGGGCTTAATGGGTTTAGCAATGTGGAAAACGGAGGTCATAGTGAAAATTTCAAGAATGATATGAGTGATTTGGCTGAGATTTTGTCTAAGCTTAATCCTATGGCTGAGGAATTTGTACCTCCCTCCCTTGCCAATCATCATCATCGTAATCCTAATGATAGCCATCATCAAAACCAAAATCAAGGTAATCGCTTTTTGGAAAATGGGTTTGGATATAGTACTGACAAATTTGTAGTGCATTCTAATTCTGGCAACGCCAGTGGACATACTAATAGAAGGGTATGTTGCTTTCTTTTTCCTTTGGCAAAATTTTTTTTTTTTTGTATTTTATAACAATTTTATATTGGTTGTTTTTGTTGATTTTCTCTTTTTCTTTTTTACTCAAAAGAGGAATAACTATAGCCAAGGGAAGAGAAATTTGAATAATAGAGCGAGCATTGCACAGCGAAAGGATGCAATTAGGAAGACCGTTTATGTATCTGATATTGATCTACAGGTGACATATCTCACACTCATGGTTCTCGCCTCAGTTTTACTTTGTTTGTGCACTGATAGTGATATCTTACTGGTTGATTATGTTTATTGTATAGGTTACTGAGGACCTTCTTGCGGGTCTCTTTCTGAGTTGTGGACCTGTACTTTTTTTTCTCCTATTTAATACAGAAATTTCAGTTTATCCAAGTTAGCAGTGGTGGATTATTCCCCTAAAATAACTTCCTGTTATTTTGGTCAAAAGGTTGTTGATTGTCGTATATGTGGTGATCCTAATTCTATCCTCCGCTTTGCTTTCGTCGAGTTTTATAAAGATGGTATTATGGAAGTCTTATGCATTTGGTTAGCATTGATGTCTGCCCTCTTTTTACAGCATTGACAATTCAGTGTTCTTGTAGAGGATGCGAGGGCTGCTTTGAATTTGTCTGGAACCATGCTTGGTTATTACCCTGTAAGAGTGCTGCCTTCGAAGACTGCAATTGCACCTGTTAACCCTACTTTCTTACCCAGGGTAAAGCATATATATGATGAATGAACATTATTCACAGTTGTGTAAGTTATTGAAACTGAGTCAGAGACATATTGATATGTGTTTTCGTTTTTAATTACTTGGCTTCAAATGTTTTATGCTCTTCAGTCCGAGGACGAGAGGGAGATGTGCACAAGGACCATTTACTGTACAAACATAGACAAGAAGGTAGTCTCTCACGTCCACTATTTTTTTTTGAATGCCAGTGTGATCAACAACCAGAGCAATAATTCCTGGCATGGTTGTTCAATTGATACAGGTAACTCAAGCTGATGTTAAGCTCTTCTTTGAATCAGTTTGTGGGGAGGTCTGTAGTTTCTCGTGTGTGATCTGCCTTATAAATGTGTTATATTTGTAACATTTGATGATTTCTTACTGAACATTTTTGCTTTATGGTAGGTTCAACGCTTGAGGCTATTGGGAGATTATCATCATTCAACTCGTATTGCTTTTGTTGAGTTCACAATGGTAGTTACTCTGTTGCTATCTTTATTACTGAAACTGTTGCAACATCTGTTTTTATGGTATCAGGTTAAATTTCCTGTATTGTGCTTTCTCAAGTTGAGAACATTCTGTGCTATGTTGTGGCCTATACCATAAAGCTTACTTATTCTAAGATGAAAAATGACATGGCCTATTCCCTTGTAACATTATCTAGCCACTTCTTTACATGGATAATGTACTATCATGCTTTCTCTGTTATTCCAAGCCTTAACTGTCTTTTTAGTCTTTTCATTCATGGGGTTTATTGATCTTAAGAATTAAGTGGATGAAGTGAAGTGACATTGGTCTAAAACCTCTTCAGGAGAGCTCACTTGGTTTCTACTGTTTTGGTTTTGACATCATGCCTCCTTTTTGGTTGCTGCTTGATTGTGTTACTTCAAATGGTTTTTGGGACATGAACTGTAGGATATACATTGTCAAATGGGACTGGAAGTTGATTTAGGTGAATTGAGTTGTGGAAAATTTACGGTTCTGTAAGAGTAGTCCTGGTCTTTCCATTGGTCCCCTCTCTCACTACAGTCTCTAAGAACGATGGGTGGGGGAGATACTGAAATGTCTTTGTTTGAAGGCTATGGTCATTCGTAGGGTCTTTACAGCTGTTGTTGCAAGACTGTTAAGATCAGTTATGATCGTGCTTGCTGGTCCATGAATGGTTGATTGTAGGAGTGTGAAATGAGGAGCCTGTGCTCACAAGTGTAGTGGAAGCGTGTGTTGAAGGACAGTGAACCAAGTTTATGAAACCTTCCTTTTACCTGCTGTTGACTGAGGGAAATGAGGGTTTAATGCGTTTCAGAATGAATTTTTTCTGTGATTAGCAAGTTTAGAAATGTCTAGCTTTCTTTCAACTATCCTGAGTTCTACCTAGAACCAGGGGAGAGTTGTGTGTGCGAAGGACTCACTTAAATCTCCATGATCATATGCAGTGTTTTTGGAAAGTAATTTGTGATGACAAACCTAGTCAGAGGATGCAATCAGGATGTTGGGCTTCTTTTGTTTTGTGATGTAGAGCATTACTCCAGACAACCTTTTTTCTTTTATGCTGGTGGCCAGACGGAATGATTATCCATTTGCTTGAGAGCACCGTCAGCCTTAAACTTATCTAGCTTATTATTCTGCACCACAGCCATTTGTTGCATCATACTCATGTTGTTGGTGTGCTTTTTCTTTAGCTGAGGAAGTGCATTGCACTTGCTCAAGATGAATCATTTTATCTGTTGCTGCCAATTTTGAAGATGAGTTAATGCACTTCCTTCACTTTCTCTTTCACTATTTCGTACTTTTCTAATGGTCAAGAACTTTTTTTTTTCTGTAGTTGAGCAAAGTGTCAAGATAAGTGCCTGGTAACTTTGTTTTATATGTGATTTAATCTACTGGGTGATCTCTGACTGTTGTTTCTAGTAGCATGGTAGAACTGGGTTCTAAGCTCTTAAGCTATCATATTACCCTTCTTCTATCCACCCCATTATTAAACAAAGCTTTTGCATCATTTGCCACAAATCTGTTTTAGATGCTTAGCTGGAATGATTTCCACAAATATTTCACTTGGAATGGAACTGCCAAAAGTGTGTCTATTTTTCAGTAGAAATATGTTTGTACTTTTCCCTGTGATTGCCATTGAATGACTGTGCTACAACTTGTTTGCTGGAATGTCTCACAATGTTGGTTTTATTTGTAAATGAGTAAATTGGCTTGGATGTTGTGTGCAAGGATGATCTTCACGTTTTATTTTTCTACTCTTGCAGGCTGAAAGTGCGGTTGCAGCCCTCAACTGCAGTGGTGCAGTTTTGGGATCTCTGCCCATAAGGTTAGTTTGTGAGACTTTTCTGTTTGAGCTGATGTCTTTCATTTTTTTGGTTGTAAAATTCAAATTCTTCCCTAATTTTATGGGATTATTTGCCTGTTGCATATGCAGGTTAAGCCCATCAAAGACACCTGTTTTGCCTCGTGCTCTTCGCCCTGCAATGCACTGATTCACCCCTTGCTTGTTTCTTTCTGCTGGACTTATCAATTGCCAATATATATATATTTACACATGCATACAGCAGTACATTCGAGGTACTTTGGGCGTTAATGTTATCTTGTCCCTGCATCTTACTCAGTATCTTTGTTACTTATAGGGGGTTAATTGCGGTTTGTTTCTTTTGCTTGTAGAGTTGGAAGGGATCATCATTTTGTCCCTGCATCTTAGTATCTTTGTTCCTTACAGGGGGTTAATTGTGGTTGGTTTCTTTAGCTTGTAGAGCTGGATGTGATTCTGAGGACACATTGTTAATTTATGTTGCATATTGCAATGCACTTTCTAGGGGTGATTGCTCGGGCATATCTGTCTAACAACTGATAATTTTAAATAGACTATCTCTTACTGTTGATTATGATTTGTTTTCTGCTGATTCCTTGGTCGCAATTTTAGATGCCTTTATTGTTATGAAATACTAGACTGTCCACCTGTGCAGTCTTTTGGTTTGAATTTCTGATAGAAGAGTTGGAACTTAGAAGTAAAATCCATGTGAATTTTACCAAAAACTGATTTTATAATCGCATTGAATCTTAAATAAAACCCTTGTCTCTCTTAAGATAGTCGAGTTGGCCTCTTATTGAAATAAGTATATACTTTTTTCTTTCATAGATATTCTGATTTTAATGTTAAATATGGTATACTAACAAGTAACACCATATTTCGATTTTTCTCAAGGTAAGAAATGAGTGAAGCATCTGTGGTCAAAATTAGTTATTGTTTTGGAAGGTTGAGCAAAATGCCAAAAGTCATGGAGATTTTGAAAGAACCTTCTTGGTGGGGGAAAAGGGGTTCTGTCAATGATATGTCCTGGATTTTTACCCTGTTTTGTTTTTCTCATATTGGTAAAAAAATGGTGGTTCCTTTAAATAGATATATGGCACTTTGACTTGATCAGATCGCTAAGGATATGGAAGAATAACACTAATGATGCAATATTGCAAATATACAAGGGTTTACCTTTATGTTTGAGATTATGAATTTAAGGGCAAATATTTGACAATTAACATTGGCCCTGAGCATTCCCTAAAATTCTGACAGTGAACTCTGATAGAGCTGACTTACTTTGGTCTGATGTTGCTACAAAATTTTCATTGGAACAATTCTGTTTACCTCAGAAATTGAACTACTGAGACTGTTGGTATGGAGATTCATGTTTACAAAAAATGATTTCACAAGTATAGACTCAGATCTCTATATGGATACCATTACGGATTCACATAATATCTCCTCATGGAAGTGCAGCATTAGCGTTCGACAAACCATTGTTTGTTTGTTTGTTTTAATACGTAACTTTCACTTCAACCACAAAATAAATTAGTATTCTGTGCTTTCGAGTAATGGGAATACCTAGCGAGCAGCCACAACCTTTTTTGAAAAGTTTGTATCTGCCTTTAGCTGGTGGAGTGCGGACCTGCGGACCAATCGTCCTACTTACCCCACCGGGATTCGCTGTCTAATAATGGCCTCTTTCTACGTAGCATTTGAAGAATTAGAAGCAAATTAATTAATTAATTATATATGCACAATCATGTAAGTGAATTTGGAACAAGGAACCCAACGCACTCAACGTTTATTTAGTTAGTGTTGGCATTTTCTTCGATTCCCGACATATACTTCATGAATCCCGGAAGTTGAATATGCAAAAGATGGACAATGCAAAGATAAAAATGCCCAAGGAATATGAAAGATGAGATGTAAATTTTTTACTCTTCAGGCATACGACAGAGAGTCAGACAATGACTCTATAACAAACTGCAAAACGAAGGAAAACTATGATGAACTGACAAGCCAAGCAAGACCCTAGCTGGCTCTCTCTTTCATTATTCAGACCCAGTATTGCTTTTTAGATAAGTAAACTTAAAATCCTATGAATTCTTGATCAATAATGCGAACAGATATAGTTTCTATAAGAATCACTGTAGGATCATTTGAGACGAATTTAAGAAAAAGGCCATTCCTAAAAGGGGTAATAAAAAGTGTGTATATTGTGGTGTGTGAAAGAGAATATATCCAAATAGCAAATCTAAAAATGGCTGAAAGTGAAAAATCGTATTCTGTCATTTACTCTTGAATGCTTCTCTAATCTTTGCGGTATTGAGGTGTGATTTTTGTGAGAAAAGGTAAAATGTAAAACCCCGTCCCTTTCTTTTCTGCCTGTAATCTGTAGAGAGTATTCAGTTGACTTATCTGATTGTATCCTTTCCACTGTTTCTACTGATCCTAGTTATGAAATCGTAATTTGATCAGTCGCTGGCATTACACATGAATTTTGTGCAGAGGCAGCTCCTGGCATCCCGGCGACTTCTGCTGTGGCTGGTGCACCTGTATTTTAAAGGAAGCTTGTTACAATAAGATCTATTTCCCACCTATCAAGTAAAGTAGTGCTGTGCAAATAAAAAAAACAGTAAATTTTTAGATACTCAACCGGTAGTAGCAAGCAAAGATGGAGTGGCTGCTCGAGGAAGTGTTAAGGTCCCAAATGTACCGTGTTGCTGAGAGGCGTTAGGATATTGAGTGATTTTTGGATACTGACTTGTGCTGCTCTGCCCATGCTGGGGATAGAGTGGGAAGTAACTTAAGTAGACTCCAGGGGATCCAGGAGTCCCGGTGGTGTAACGGGATGGGAACTGCTGCCCTCCATATACATTATAATAGTTCTGCCAACAAAAAAACTGATTTCAAATCAAAATATCCAACTGTTGTTTCACACATCTGTAATGATTGAACATAAACATCAAGATTTCATACTAAAAGTTGCAATAACAATGTCGGTAAAGATGCATTCAGTTTTTAATTGAACACCACAAATTCTGAATTGCAAATTGCAGTGACTGGTCTAAAGTGGGACTCAGATGAACGCATAATTTAAAAGATAGAATCGGAGACTAACCATTGAATAAATGTTCTGTGTGTGACCAGGATACCTGAATGTTAAAAGAAAAAACATTTAGAACATTGATCTACAAATTGAAATAAGAATTTACTAAATCATTTCAATTTTCAAATACTATTAAGCTATGTATGCAAAGGTTTTGAATCAGATCTACCCGTAAACCCAATATGGAAATGCATATTGCGGGATGAGTTGACCATAAAATGCTGGAGTACCAATACTGGATGGTGCCATGACTCGAGGTGGTGGGCTAAATTTCTCCATCCCTGTAAATTTGTTAGCAAAACAAACGGAGACAGCAATAAATGTAAACGCAAGGAGACCGAGAGAAGCAAAATATGCAAAATGAAACAATCATCAATATCGACTACCGCATTTATGATGTTGGTTCGATGGCAAATCAAGGGGTTGAATAACGAAGAATTTGATTACCATGCTGAGAGGCAGAAGTTGGACGATTCTTTTGAGCACCAAGAGATGCAAGATTACAGTTTGCTCTTCTTCCATCAATCACGGGAGATGGATTAGAGCAAGCCCTCATCGCCGAATCAGCATCCTTAAACGTCACCTAGAATACCATAATTAAAACAAAGTTAAAAGGCTAGATAAAGAGGCGAAAAAAGAGAAAGATAGAGGGGACGTGTGCTTACAAAGCCATAACCTTTTGATCTTCCTGTGCTTTTGTCATTAATAACGACAGCTTCTAGTATCTCTCCGAACTGCTCAAAATAACGTTTCAGGGTATCTCTTTTAGTCTCCCAAGCCAAACCTCCGACAAAGATCTTGGTGTAAGTCGTGTCACCAAACCCTGTAGCATTGGTTTCACCCGGCATCTTATTTGGCCCTGGCTGAGATATGGAATCACAGTCCAAACTCCACACAAGCGCAGCCAACCCCAGAGATAGAAAAAAAAAAAAAAGGAAAGAACCCAGGCGAGAATCAGCACCTAAAAGCCAAAATACAGTGGAAAAAGGGGAGACAAAGGGAGAATGAACCGTTGGCTGACAAAATATTTATGGAGTGAAAGCAATCGCATCAACCCTCTACAACAACTTCAATCAATAAGGTTTACTTCTCTCTTCTTTTTCTATCAAACCTTACTAGATTTCCACAGCCAACTCACCTCAGATTCCCCAACAAAGATACCCTAAACGAGAAACTTATCACTGTTTAAAGGTTTGAAAATTGGAGCAAATTAAAAAAAAAAAAAAAAACTACACAACAGAACCCAAGGGACGCTAGAGAAACGAAATAGAAAACCTTGTACGATTATTGAAGATTTTATTTTATTTTTACCCAATTATTGAAGCTTTTTTTAGAATGTACTGATAATTCACTAAACTAAGAAAAGGAAAAAAATAATAAAAAAAAGTGCAAGTGGGCACAAAAAGGGCAAATACAGTAGAAAAGGGGAATTTCCAAGAACCTTATTTCCATTTTCCGTCGTTTATTTGACATAGATATCAACAGTACTTACTATACTTTTTAATGGGTCCAAAGATACGTGCCTTGCTGTATCCAACTCTCCATCTTTCTTCTTTCCTCATTTGCTATCAGTTGTTTAGCCATATACTCCTTTTCCATATTATTAAATTATTGATCCAATGGCTGTTATCCCTGGAATATATATATATATATATATATATGTTTTAGAGGCCATTAGAAGACATATTTATTGACCTTCACCTTCTCTAGCAGTTCAACAGCCGCTCATTCAGCAATAATAACCTATTCTTCTTCTTTCTATATTTTGGATAATTATAAATTCTAAATAAGTTATTCTTCCGAATGCTGATCGAGAGAACGTGCTTCCGATTTGGGTTTGTTCTATGAGACAAACCGTTGTTTTAGCCAACGGATTTTCTTTGTGATTGTTGAGAGTGTAAACAACTATACATTGATCCTCGTCTCCAATAATTACAAGAACACAAAAAAGAGTAGGGATTTGGTTGTTTATTAATTCATGAAAACATGATAACCAAATTGAATGCATGTTAAATAATGGGAACTTTATATGTAATGAGACATGCTGGAATAAAACCAATTAATGAGAGCTTAAAATTTCGCGTTCGTTAGTTTCCATACCCAACTAAAAACATCAGAAATAGTTACTATATATATATTTAGTATTTTGTTTCATTGATATATAGAAACTAAGTTAAGAAGTTGCTGATTTCGTTTATTAAACTTTTTTATGTAAGAATGAAAGCAAAAGTTTAATAGTCAAAGCCTCCATTTAGTAATAAACTTCATTTGATAAAATCATCTTTGTTCATATACTGGGCTTTTGTTAAAGTTTTTGGCATAATTCATGATCAGCTGACCACTAGTGTTTCCAAAAATGGTTTCGGCTGCAGGCCTAGTTCTTCGAATGAGCTTTGTACTCGAGTAGTCAGTCCCACACCAAAATTAGTCATTAAGTTGTTTTGGACTCTTTTGGTAATTCCCAAATAAATCAATAATTTTATAAATTGGGTACACTTTTCCCGTGGATCTGGTGAAATCAGATCCCTTCTTGTCCAAATAGGCTAAAAGCCCAAATAAATGCACCAAAGAAATCAAGGGTAACCCAATGGCAGCTGAACTATCTGATCAATTCGATTTAAGCTCGGTTCAGAATTTCCATGCTAGAGCCCGTCATTGTTTAACAGTGTGCTTCTTTCTTCCCAATCATGGACTTAATCCACCTTCTTAAGCCAGCATTAGAGTCAAAACGACAATTTAGTGTAGTGTTTTGTCCATCAATGTGTGTCGCGTGAACCATTAAGGTTGTCTGAATTTGCTTTTTGAAGCTACAAATTCGTGATTAAGGGCAAGAAATTATATTGGCCGACCTATAGTTGGAGTTTTGCGATTTCCACTGAACTACTTAAAAGTCTTAATAACCTATTTAGTTCTCTTGTTTGCCTTTTCGTTTTGTCCTCATTTTGTTATATGTGATTTTGATTGTATGAAAATATCTGCTGATCATCTGGATGGTTCTTCTTTGCAGGGAGAAAAAGAATGCCTTAATTAAATAAAATCTATACCTCTTGTTTCACGTTTTATACATCCCTTTGTTTGGCAGTACTTAGGTAGGGTCGATGGTGACCCTTTTGCCAGCTTTTTTTTAAGCCAGCTGTTTGTAGGTCAGATAGGTTAGTTAAACGTCCTCAGTAAAGAACGACAATGCGAGTCAACCATTTCAAATTATAATAGACAAGAATCACGGGATCTTTTTAAACTCCTTCCCTATTGTCTTAATACAATAATAGCATTGTCAAAGTTAGGTACCAACCTTACATAGAAACAAGCGAAAAGGGTTCTGAGTGAAATTAGTAAGTTACATGTAACCCCCACAAAGGATCCAAACTCTCTCATCATGACCTCGAATGACCTAAACCGTTTTATGCCCTCAAACAATGTACTGAATTTTCCAACAATATAATGCGAACCCAAGTGGAAAACTTCTCCATATTCTTCTATTGGAATTGTCCCTGAATTTTCGACCCTTGAATTTATGATTTTGGTACCGAGAAATGGTCCCACTCCCATGGAATCAGATAGTCATGCCAAATGCTTCCATTGAAATCAATAAGGCCCCACTCTAACCGACTACAATTAATTATACAAGTAGGCTATTACTCCCCTTTGGCCCTTCAACTTATGCTTCATTGACATCACCAAACGCCAAGGATGATGTAATAATACAGAGTACGAATTAAAAGAAAATAAAAAGGGTCAATGGAGGATAAATTGTTGGTTTATTACATGGATATTTCATAGACCACTATGTAGGTGTATAAATATCAAGAATATTTAATATCTTGCCTTAAAAAATAAAATTTTTGATCAGACCATAAAGATTTAGATTTTAGACACTGGTCATTGGCCAATAATCCTTCGTGAAAATCTCTTTATTTTGGTCTATAATTGTACCAATCAATTACGTTGTCCCATTTGTACGGTCATCAAGTTGATAGACAGTAAGTGAAGCTGAATGTGACATGGACACTACTAGGCTCCTAGAAATAAACAGAGCTAGAGGCCAAAAGGCGAGGGGAAATGGAGAATGATAGATGAGCAATGCCAATGGCCCCCTTTCTCAACAGAAAGATAACTTTTGCTCTTGCACTTACGGTATATTTGGATTGAGAGAAAAGAATAAAATAAAATAAAGTAATGAAAACAGAAAAAAAAAAATTTGTTTAGATAAATTTTTAATTTAAAAAAAAAATGAAAATTAAATAACTTTTAATTTTTTTTTTAGTTTTCATTTTTTTAATACTTCAATTTGAAAGAAAAGTTAAAGAAAAAAAAAGCTAAAAAATTTTATTTTTGTAAAGAGATTATTATATTCAACTTTTTATTAATATCAAAAGCTTAGTAAAAAAAATCCAATCACATCATAATCTTTCTGTAATTTTTTTAAAATCATTTCTTTTTTTAAGTAAGTTTCACGTGTCTTTTCAATATAAAAATTTTTTATAATTTTTTGATGATTTGATCTTGATGAATGATTAAATATGAATAGACATATATTTTAGGTTTATGAGATGTTAAAGTGATAACGTACTGAAATTTTAATAATGGCTAACAAATCCATCAATGCATGTTTATAAAATATCTTTTTGTTTCACTTGATTAAAAATCATTAATATAGTAGTAATTATGAGGTTAGATAAGATAGCAAATATATTATGATTCAAAAATATACTATAAAATCACAAGCAATGAAAGATTATAATTGAAAAAAATTAAAAATTATTATAATGAATCATTTTGTTTCTTTTTCACTCTTTATTCAAATAATGATTGCTAGAATTAATTTCTTTATTTTCCTTTTATTAATTTTAATTATTCAAACAAGGGTTATATGTATCTTTTCTTTTAAAAAAAAATATTTTTCTTTTCTTTCCTTTCCTTTTCTTTCCTTTATTAATATTTATTCAAACGTAGCATTAATGCAAAACAATACCCATTAATTGTTTAGTGTGTAATGTTACCTCTGCTCCTTTTACAAATTAACCAAACAACAAACTTGCTTTGTATCAAATATTATTTCTTCTGTTGCTAATAACCCCATAGCCCATAGGCCATATCTCTTCTTGGCTCTAATTTTTTGAAGCTAAATGGGTAATTGTTGGGCTCCTCTTAGACGAAGTGAAGGTTGTTGCCTGAGAGCTGTTGACGCCAAGCCTGATCAGAAAGTTTTGCAGGGGTGAAAATGGATGGAAGAAATTAGAGTTCATGAGAGCACCACTTCTTGTTAAAGATATATTGGAGAAGTTTTCAGGGTCGGGTATTGGTTTATCAAAGACGGTTACACAGCATTTCCCGCTTAACTACGAGTTGAAGATAGGGAAGGTTTACTACATTCTTCCTTCAGTTGATCCAGTTGGAGATCCAACTCCTGAAAGTAATTCATCCATGGCTGATACACGACAAGCCGATGGTGTTAAGAGAATAAAAGTTGTTATAACAAAGCAAGAGCTTCAGCAATTGTTGACGAAGCAAATATCGGTTGAGGAGGTTCTTGCAGGGCTCGAGAATAGAAATGGTAATTTTGTTGTATCTACTAGACATTGGAAGCCAAAACTCGAATCTATCTCGGAAGAAAACGAGTGATAGTTAATAGAGTAACTAGATTTTCAGCTGTTCCGCTAACTCTTTGAACTTCAGGGCAACATATATTTTAGGTCCTGAAAAAAAGAAAGATATAATCGAATGGCCTGAAATCACAAGAAATTGTGGCGTAAACAGAGTTTATCATTTTCATTCGCTTTCAGCGCAGCATAATTTTGCGAGTTTGATATTGTGAAACAAGAATGAACAATGATTTTATGATATCTTTCTTAGTTGTTAGTCTTTGCCTAACACTCAGAAGCTAGAACGTTGTTGCATGTTAACAGGTCTAATCACTACTGCAACGGGTTTTTCATGTATTCCCCTTTTCTTGACTTACTGTAGATGTGATAACATTTCAGCAAATATTTGGAAATTGAGAATTTGTTAAGACCGATTTGATGCCCTGAGAAATGGGAAATTTCAATTTCTGAATCTGTTTCATTGTTAAAACAAAGCTAAGAAAATGTCCATAGCAGGCTAGGGAGAGGGTTTTTTTTTTTTTTTTCATTAGAAACCATTTTGAACTGTTACCATCACTATTATTTATGGCATCATAAAAAGCCGTGAATTGGACAGGCGATTGGAATTGATGAGGACCTAAAGAGAAAGAGAAGATGACCAGCTACAGACTTCCTACTGAGAGTATTCATAGCTTCAAAAGAAATGATCATATATCCCATTAGTATTTACGTAAACTTACATTTACAAAAACTTTCTTCTGCAAAGTATAAAATCAAAAGCATCATAGCAAGTTCTACACAAAATTTAAGATCGCGTAAGATAAAAAAACAAAGGCACCTTCTTAAAACCCGCAAGCGTTTTACTGAATTTCTACATCAATAACCTTGCGCTCAACTTTTGTCTTAGGTATGGAGATGAAGAGAATTCCATTCTTCAGCTCTGCCTTGATCTTATCTTTCTCACAGTTGTCTGGTAGTTGGAGACTAGTATCATAGGAACAGTAGCTCCTATTTGTCCAAGAATTATCTCCTTCCTCCTTTTTCTGCTCTGCCTTGATAACTAGAATATCGTCCTCTATGGAAACCTTAACGTTCTCTTTTGCAAGTCCTGGCATGTCAAATCGCATTTTGATCTCATATTCATCATCTTTGATCTCCCAAGGTGCACGCATCGCTCCTGTTCGGGTGCCCGGCAATGTCATGGCATCCTCAAACATCCGGTCCATTGTGTCTATCATTTGACGCATTGATCTCATAGGAGACAAGGAGTCCAACAAACCTGTCAACCATGGATCAAGTTAAAATATTCTGAGGAATCAGAGGCAAGATTGGCCCCAAAATTTGAAAAAGGAATTAATCAATCGAGCCTTTCTCCACACTCTATGGTAAAATTCATTATAACAAGCCATATTAATGATTCAGCTGTAACAAACAAATGTCAAGCTACTGATATAAAGAAAAACTGTACAAATGAAAAAGAGCTAAATACTTACCAAAAGGAGAGATATCCACAGCCAACCGTTTAGGCCTCTTCTCGACAGCTGTCCCTTGATTATCTTTGTTAACGTGCACGTCCACTGACGTATCTTTGTTATCCCCAGCGGCCTGTGCCCTTACAATAGACAGCCGGCTGCTGCAAGAATTCTTGGACGGAAAACACACAGAGAATGGCATTATAACTTTAATGGAACAAGGCTTAACCCTGTTTGATACCATTGGTGAAAATGACCAAGACAAAGTTGAAGTCATTGTTATAACAAAGACTTTGAGAACTAAGAGGTAGCTAGGAGACTGAATAATAAAGAGAGCTTTAATGACTATTTCTTTGAACTGCTAAAGATAGGGAGGAGGACGGTGAATATATATAGGCCAACGGAGGAGACTCTGTTCTGTGCATGGCAAAAAGCAGGGGAAGTTTGGGGAGGGATCTTGAAAGTTTGAGTGAGGGTGTGAAGGTTCTGGACCCAACATCTGGACCTGTCGTTACTCGCAATATATTTGGGCTTTCTAGTCTTTCCGGAAACATCCAGGATTTACATCTTAGGGGGCAAGAAAAGGATATTTCTACATTGATCCTTATTTTCTCAGATAAGCCATTACTTTTTACTGTCTTCCTTAGGAAACCTTGCGTTAGATTCTCTTAAGGGGAAGTTTGGATCGAGGACTTTCCTTTTCGGAATTTTATTTTTTATAATTTGATTTTTTATTTTGTGGATTAGATTCTCCGATGACAATATAGTAAATTATAAAATATTATTAAAATAATTTTTTTCTTAATATAGTTTAAATAAATATTATGTTTTTAATACAATGCTATTGAAATCTTTATAAAAGTTATGATTAAAAATATGATCTTTCTTGAAAAGATAAAAAAAGTTATTTTTTATAATTTAATAAAGACGATGTTTCTAAAATAAAATAACATAATTTTTGTCAAAAATATGAAAAAATTTAGTTTTCAAAACTTAATAAAAATAATATTTTTAAGATAAAAAACACATCTTAGACAATATTTTTAAGATATAAATGTAATTTTTGTTAAAAATATGAAAAAAATTTATTTTTTAAAATTCAATAAAAAAATGTTTCTAATATAAAAAATACAATTTTGATTAATAAGATGACATTTTTAAAATAAAAATGCACTCTTTGTTAAAAATAACTATATTTTTTAAATAAAAATATAATTTTTATTGAAATTATAAAAAAATTATTTTCTAAAATTTAAAAATAAAATATCTTTACTTAATATTATTACATATAAAATCTAAAATACATTAATTTAATATTATTACACATGAAATTTGTTTTGAAGGATCTGTCCTTTAAAACTCTGAGATTGCTACTCTTTTCTAACTCCCACGTAATCCTCATCGTGAAGATAGATATGCATATTTTTTTATGCATAAAGTTAATTAATGTTATGATAATAATTAAAATTATAAAATTATTTTTATTAAAAATATAAAAAATTATTTTTAAAATTAATAAAAATAATGTGTTATTCATATATTATTAAAAATAATATAAAAAAAATTTATTAAATAATCTTTCATTAAATTAAATATAAAAATTTTACATTCCTATATCATCGAAACTTAATAATCACATTTTTTTAAATCATTTTATTCCTAAATCACTTTTTCTCTTAAAATCCACAAATCCATTAGCAAATCACTGATTCCGACCAAAGTGCTCAAGTATGCAAGATCATTTTTTGTTTTGCTTCCATCGGAGAATCTAATCCTCTTTAAAAGCTGAGAAAAGAACAAAGACAAGACAAGGGTATGAAAAAAATATATATATTGTCTCTAAAATCCTTCAAAATTCTTTTTGGCGCTTCCTGTCCCTGTCACCGAAGAAAAGAACCGAAAGAAAGTGAAAGGGAAAAAAATAAAAAAATATTGGAAGTTTTGTGGGGTAATGCAACTGTTGCATCAAAATAGGTCGCCTATATAGCGGTGTTCAGGTTGTTTTGATTCCATTACAGAAAAATGTTTCCATCATTGGAAAGGCATGTGATTGTGTTAATAAAATTTTTTTTAATGAAAATTGCATGCGATCATACATGCATTTGGATAATCTTAGGAAGTTTCAACTCACATACGAGTTCAAATTGTTCAAATTTCGAAACGTAAATTATTATATTAAAATCCTAAATCTTAGAACCCTTAAACCTACATGATGAATCGAGCACATATTTTACCCCCAAAAATATTCTCCCCGCTCTTCCTGTCCAGGCTGTTCTGCTATTGGCAATTACCCTGAACGAGCAAGTGTATGGGGAAATGAAGGCTGTTGTTAATTAGTGACTGTATGGCAGGAGCAGTAAAATGCGAATCCGAGAAGTTTCATACAGGCGACCATACATTTTCAGAGTTTAGAAAATTGAATCTGAGGGTGTAGTCCTAAGTCTTTATTAATGGGGCTCCAAAAATAAAAAGGTCAAGATTTTGACTGGTCTATCCACTGAGCAACCTCTGTCATTCTGCCCACTATCATTTTCCCCTGTAATAATCAGTTCTCTTTTTTAAATTAATTCACCTTTCAGAACCTGAAATTGTCTTGATTTTGTAATTTTAACCAATCCCAACATACCTCGTTTAACGAGAAATTTCCTGACTACTTTTAATTTTAATCATTAATAAATTGCCACGTATGATTTATTGACAATTACTATCTCTTAAAACTCAACGGACACTTCTTAGCACGTGGAAGGCCCAGAGAAAGCCGTATTCTTTGGTCGTTGTTACAAGCTGAAAGTACCTCTTTGAGAAACATGAAAGCAAATGCTTTTACCTCTCTTACCCCATCCAACTTTCAGCATTATCGAGGCTACTCACTTTTTTTACGTTGTCTGAAACTGTCTGACACATAACTCTATTTGTGTTCTCCACGGTCCACTCCACAAGAAAACATCATATCTTTTAGCACTACACACTGCCCACAATAACGTTACGAAGCTTAATATAATGCAGTGTCCGTTCCCGAATGGAAGAACTAGCTAGCAATGCTATGCACCTATGCCCAGTTGGATCCAACATAGATAGTGTTTTGTTCCTTTCCTTTCAATTATATCTGTGGACCTTTTGCATTTAAAGATACCAACTACTCCATATGAAGAAGCTCCAATGAGGCTATGAAAGAAAAACTCCATTCTTTTCTTATATTCTGCATTATATATAGCTGGCTTAATTTAGCTTTGCTTTGCTTTTTGTGTCAACTCTTCTATGGGGAAGATTGGAGGAAACTCTTGGTTGACTGCAATGAAGAAAGCTTTTAGGTCTCCTACAAAGGAAAATGAGAGGAGAAGCTGTAGAATGAGAGAAGATAGCGAACAAGAGGAAGAAGAGAAGGTTAATCTTCATAAATTTTCCCTCTGTTTTGTTTTTCTTTTTGTTTCTTGAATATATGTATGCAATAAAATTTGAATTAATTTTCTTTTTCTTGGTTTGCGCAGAAAAGAGGAAAACGAAGATGGATTTTCAAGAAGCCGTCGTGTCAGGAAACAGTAATACAACACAGTGAAGAAAGGACCACAACTACAACTGCTAATGCTAAAGCGACCACCAATCCAGAAACCTCGGTACTGAATGCTATTCCTGAAGCTGAGGAAAGACACGCCATTGCAGTGGCCATAGCCACCACAGCAGCTGCTCAAGCAGCAGTAGCAACAGCCCAAGCAGCTGTAGAAGTTGTTCGCCTCACGAGGCCTTCCATTTTCGTCAGGGAACACATTGCTGCCGTTCTTATACAGGCAGCTTTCAGAGGATGTCTGGTAATGGAATACTAGTAATTAGTTTGTTTGTTGCACTTTAAATTTGTCACAAGTAAAGATATTAGGAATAACCAATATATAGTCGTGATTTTGAAGGCAAGGAGAGCTCTCAGAGCACTCAAGGGGCTGGTGAAGCTGCAAGCCTTGGTGAGAGGCCAAAATGTTCGAAAGCGAGCAAATATTACTCTTAGATGCATGGAGGCTATGGATCGAGTGCAAGCCCGAGTGCGTAATCAACGTAAGCGGCTTTCGGCGCATGAAGGAAGCAGAGACTCCATATTCAGTGACCCCACCAGCTTATGGAGCTCGCATCTGTTAGACAGGAAGTCCATTGTAAGAAATACTACTTAAAGATGACTTGCATTAAGCTTCAACTGGCAGCAACCTGTTGTGTTTTTTTTTATATTGGCCTTGTAAGTTGTGGTGCAGTCTAAGGAAGAAAGCAGCAAGGTCGATGATTGGATCCATTGGAACGAGCACCCGAAAACACCGGAGGAGATTCAGGCCATTGTGCAGAAAAAAAAGGAAGCTACCTCGAAACGTGAAAGAGCTCTTGCGCATGCCTTCTCTCACCAGGTTGATGTTTCGGTCCCTGACCTGTCTTTACATGACTGATGTATTCTTTACTAAATTTGCGAAATAACTAATGAAACTATTTCCTGCATCCGTTTCCTGAAAAAGATTTGGAGAACTGACAGAGACACTGTCGAAAGTGAGGAAGAGCTTGACGAGGAAACCAGATGGGTTGATCGGTGGACAACAAGGAAGCAATGGGAGAGTACTGGCAGAATGTCGTGTGGCCAAATAGATCCCATAAAAACAGTTGAAATTGACACCTCTAGACCTTACTCTTACTCAGCCCTCCATTACCAAAAATCCATCCTTCAATATCACTACCAACAACAAAGGCCTAGTCCATTTTTTGTCGCGTCCCCTCTCCACAAAGTCAACAACAGTCTCCCCACTTGCTCAATCACCCCATCTCCGTCAAAAGCAAAGCCTCTCCAAATGTACTCAGCTAGCCCTCGCTACCTCAAAGAAGAGAAGAGCCACCCATCACCCCATACGCCAAACTCAGGATCCTACAACCATACAATGAGTGGTAATGCTGGGGCTCCTGCAGCAATGCCTAACTATATGGCTGCTACAGCATCTGCTAAGTCTCGGTTTCGGTCACAAAGTGCACCAAAGCAGAGGCCTTCAACCCCAGAAAGGGAGAAAGTGGGATCAGCCAAAAAACGTCTGTCATTTCCAGTCCCTGACCAATGTGGTGTTGAGGGGAGGAAAGATCAAGTTTATGATTATAATTAGGGGAGTCCAAGGCATAGGAGCCGTTATGGAGGCCATTTTGGCATGGAGCAGAAATCCAACATTTCTTCTTGTTATGCATGTAGTCTTGGCGAAGAAATCTTTCCACCTTCAACAAATGATCTTAGGAAGTGGTGGAGGTAAACAATGCGATTGCTCCATTGCTTGAGGTGAAAAAGAACAAAGGCAAAGCTGGTGATAATTACCAATTTTTATTCCAATGAGAAAGCTAGGCCTAGAACTGCATGTAGATGATGGGAGCCAATTATCATGACAGTGTCTCGAGAAGTATCTTATTTGGCAATTGATTATTAAAGCTTCTATTATCATCTATTATCATCATAGCAAGTTCATCAAGCAACCTCACTGGACCACTTAAGAAATTAAACAATCAATGTCAGTCGTCTTACAGAAACATTTTGGAACTTTCATTTTCAGTACACGAAAATAGCACAGCTTTGCCCACATGGCATTTTGAAAAATTTTTCTGTTCCTGCACATCATTTTTTTGGATGAAGTATAAATTTTGTATTCATCTAAAGAAAGCCGGAATGTCCTGCTACAAAACGACGACCAGGATTTTTTTAATCATGAAAGGAAGTTTTTATCATGCAAATAAGATTGTGCTATTCAATGACTCATCAATAATTCCAAAATCAGCAGGCAGCAACTTACAAGATTAAATATTCAGCAGTGCTCAAGAGAATCAAGAACGATATGCAAGTTATAAGTAAACTCTAAAATGTATGCATAAAGCTACACTAAGCTTGGCAGAATGCTAACAACAACGTACCTAATTATACAGAATCAATGGACAGCACTACAACAAATTTATCATTACCTTATTCATGTCAAATCAACCATCGTTCGGTTGAGGCAGTGACTCCAAGAATAGTCGTTTAGTCGAGAGGATTATATAAGGTTCTGCCATGGTGCCATTCCCATAGTCTCCTCAAGCTAGTCTCTTAGTGGGGTGAGAGAAATTCCAAACTCATCAATAGATATGAGAATTTTTTTTCTTGAAAGAGTTGCTCCACATGAAACGCTAATAGCTGGTGCAACAAACAGTGGCTTGCCGCTGTCCAACTCCAATGCTCGCACGCTGCGCAATGACATCAGCCCATCGACGAAGCTCAATTTGAAGCTCATTTGTCACCGATTGTTTTTTTAGCTGGACCATTCAGCCTCATCAATGTAAAACATGACATCGTTAGGAAAGAATGCTCTATCAGTGAAATGCAAGGAGGCTTTGCGGCAACTGCTTTTACTCCTGCCCTTACAAGAAAACTGTGGCAGAGACACCAAACTATATGGCCGCTATACTTCAATAACCAGCAAAGAGCAAAAGCAACCATAATCCATATTCCATAGGCTTCTCATATTTTTTTCGCCCCGAGTTTTCTCTTGGGATAATCTTAGGCCTAAGGCGTTAACTTGAGGCCTAAACCCGTACTGTAGTCTGGCTGGTTCCCCATAGGATTCCCGAGAATGGGCCTCCCGGGTGCATGCGACATTCAGCCGAAGAGGTTTGCGTGACTCCAATATCAAATTTTAGTAGCCGCCGGATACTCGACTTTAGCTGATGAAACGAGCAATTTTGCTGAACTATACAATAGAATGGACGCGAATATTTTAGCATAAGCTCTGTTTTCTGTGCGAGTCAGTTAATAAAAAGAGAGGACGAATGAATGATGATAAACTCGTTAAATTACGACATTAACAGCTTCTTTCCTTTGTCGGGTTTAGTTTCGGTGGCCTAAAACTAAAGGGCATTCATCAAGATTTTTTAATCTTTTCGTGCTTGTTATAGTTGGTTATAAAATTTTAAACCCTTATATAACTGGAAAACAAAAAAAAATAAAATGTGGCGGCAAAATAATTTAAAAAAAATGAGAAAAAAGAGTTTTGTATAGTTTCGATCAAGTAATTTGATTGAGATCGATTCATTATCCGATTAAGCCAAAATTTTATTAATGTTTACGACTTATTATTTTTCAGTTTGTATGGTAGAGATCGGATTTTGAATTTTTACTTACTGATTTCGTGAGTATTTGGTAATATCTAAATTTGTTGAGATTTTTTTAATTTTCTCTTTCAAGATTATTTTTTTATCAAGATTGTTTAATCTTAAGATATTGTGGTTGTATACCTTTAATTCTAATTAGAAAAAACTTTGTATTTTCATTATTTTGATAGTGAAAATTATTTGTTGTTACTTGTGATTTTTACTATTCATTTTATAGAGGGCTTTCATGTAAATTGCTTGTGTCATGTGCTTGTAGTTTGGTAATTTATTTGTTAACTCTATTTGTTTGATTCCTATTAGATTCACACAAGAGAGTGATAATTTGATTCTTTTTTTACTGCGTGACATATTTAATTTGAATATTATTTGAGATTATTTTATCATATTAGAGCACTCTGATAATTCGTAGGCAATTTACTGAATGTGTGAAATAATTAGTAGCGAGTGTGTGGAATCGAAACACCTAAGCAGAAAATGTACTGAATCAATCTATGATGAAGTGTAAGGTTAAGGCCATGATTGAGGCCGAGCTTGAGAGGCATTGAAACAATCTAGGCAGAGAGCCATGTTGTGTGCTATGATTGAGTCCAAGCTTAAGAAACATCGAGACAACCTAAACCCATAAAGAGGCAAGGTCGAATGTTGGGCCTAAGGTGCACTGAGACCATCCAAGACGTGAAGTTACCTGACCAAAAATTAGGTGTTGATAAAACTTACTCACATTGGAGAGTTGAGGTATTGTTGAGGAGATATGTCAAACTTAGAGCCCACATGAGTACACTAGAGAGTCCATACATATATGTTAGATACTACTTGAGCCCAAAAACTTTTCTAGTATGTTCTCATGAGCTCTAAGTGTGACTTATCTCTCCATTAACTGGTATTAGAGTTAAAGGTTCGACTTGGATGTAACGAATATATGGAATCGAAATACCTAAAAAAGTAATGTACTAAATCAATCTATGATGGAATGCAAGGTTAAGACCGTGATTAAGGCTAAGTTTGAGAGGCATAAAGACAATCTAGACCTACATAGAGGTAAGGTTGAATACCAGGCCTAAGGTGGGCTTAAGATGCACCAACATCATCCAAGATGTGAAGTTGTCTAGACCAAAAAAAGGTATTGTTAGAATTTATTCACATAAGGACCGAGATAAAATTTGATAAGAATTCACAAATAAACGAAAAAAATTATTGAGATAAAGTTCATATATAAATAAAAAATCTCACATCATTAAAAAATATAAATGAAATATTTTATATATACATGAAAAATCTAAAAATTTAATAACTTAAGTTTTTGAGCTCAAATATTGTTTAATATGAATATATAAACTTTCTGATATGCTCCTATTAGCTCCAAAATATGACTTACTTTCCCAACTTCCTTTGCATTCGCTGGCTCGGACTGGGGTTTCCTTGGTTCATTCATTTTAGAATCTTAAACAAATCGACGGCCATCGGATCGCAATTCTCAACCCAAGTTCATGTCATCTCGTTATAATGGACCGCTTAATTCCTTTTCGCAGCGAAGAACATGTCAAACCACAACACGCTGTGGTTGTCTGGCTCTGGCTGACTCAGGGTACAAAGAACATGTCAAACCACTAGAGCCCTTCTCTTCTTTAGTAAGGAAGAAGGAGCTTCGACTTCCGAGCAGGTCCAAACTACCAACTATCAGCAACTCCAAACAAAGGTTTTATGTTTTTTTTCTTTTTTGGAAAATATATTCACTGATAGAGTTGAATTAAATCACCAAATTTCCATTAAAAAGAGGTTTCAAGGATCCTACTATGACACTCCTTTGTCCTTCACATATACCATCCTATCGCCCTCTTTGCAAAGATCTAAAAATCAGTATACTGTAAGTTTCCAATAATCTAACACAAACAACATTTTCAGACAAATTCTCTTCTAAGTTCACTAAATCACTATAATGAGTTCTTAAAAAAACCGGCTGATATTGCACAATTACAAATGCAAGTCAGGATATATTTAATAAACCCAACAACTAAGTTGTCAATTAAAAAAATACCAAAAAAAAAAAAAAGAGAACACATCCGTTTGTTGTAGTAGATTCTTTGGTTCATTAGGGAAAGACCGTCTGATAATTTCCTTTAAGCCACATCAAACCGATCTCAGGTTTGGCCTCTGAACTGGCAAGTGTTGGGCTGCTACTACCACTGCTATCAGAAAATGAAGCAAGCGTTCTTCGTAAAACACCAGCTGGTGAAGATACTGTGGACTCACTAGCGGACAAGAAGAACTTCCATTTCCGGTAATGGGAGATGATGATGGATTAGAGCTGCCTTCCATGGCTGCTGCGGCGGTGGCGATCTTGTTTGGCCTTAAAACCTCTGCGAGTGGGCCTCCAGGGGTTGAAGCAGCCCAAGAGACGGGCTAACTAGCTTGAAAGGTGTGATTTTGAAGCAAATTCATGGATCTGGTCAGACTCACTCCTAATCCCATATGAATAGGACCCATCTCATC